GAAGAGCGGAAGAGCTGACATCCGACATGCAATTTATATTCTTACCTCTCTGATGATCTTGCAACCTCTGATGACACCGATATACGAGAAGGGGGCGCACAGTAAATCCTCCGAAACGCTTTGATCTAAGTTCCCGGCGTGCCGTATTGGGAATTGAGAAACGACTAGGTTAGTAAACTCTTGAAATATTTAATATGTTCAAGCTGAAAAATCGTTATCGTGATTTTTACATAATTTATATACCTCTATGTTGCCTTGCAAATTTTATCGATTCCTCGTGTATTTGAGGTGTCAACAGGAATTTGGTGAAATTTAGTATTTTAAATATTAATAATTTTTTTCTTTTGTGAATCTTACAATTTTGAAATACGTTGCTCAAATTTATGTATATTTTAATGTCGAATATTTGTACGTATTGTGAAATGTCGCGATAATTTTTAAACGTTGATTTATATGATTCTTCGATATGTTCATCAGTTTTACATAGTTTTTCCTAAATTTGTTGCAATATTATTTTTTCCAATTTAGAAAAACCTTTTCTATTTAATTTATAACTTGGAAATTAAATAATTTGAGAATTAAGAATTCTCGAAATAATTACTATTCCTTCTGAGAAATCAGTATCACCATATTATCGAATTCTATTATATATAGTAACAATGAGGGATTAAATTATTTCAAATTATCCTATCTATGTATAATTTTGTAAGTTGCATTTTATTAAAAACGTATAACAGACCAAATATTTTGGGACGTAATATATTCCAAGTTATAATAAAATTTTTAATTTATAAATATTCTCAGCACATAAATAATTTCTCAATATTTTCATTAAAATCATTATCTTGCACATCGTTTATATATTTTTTAAATCACCATAGAATATACTTTCTATTTATATATAAATTATTACAGTATACGATAAATTTATTTATTACTGCAATTTATTACAAAACGTTAATTGGACGAAATTTAAAAGAGTAAACTCAGGTAATTCTGTTTACGCATTGATAAAATGCTGATCGTAACAGAAGAGAGGCAAACGTAAACGATGTTGAAAAGCACGAATGCAGGGGAATATGCCGGGAGATACGAGAGCACGAACAATTTCGAGGGCCTGTTATCAGTGTCAGCACGTTATTTTAGCAAATGCTGTTCCACGTTAAGGCGGCCATAAATGCGCGCGGTGGCCAAAAGCCGAAGATTAATTCGAAACTCGAATTTGATCGCCAAATGTTGATAAAGAAAAGCGGGGAAGTGGTCTGTAATTCCAGAAAATAGCGACAAATGGATGCGTGCCAGAGC